AACCTAGACACAAATTTCTCAGCGACCCTTCTCATTCCCAAATTATCATTTTCTGAACCTTGCTCCAAAATAGATAACACTCCCATTTCTTCAATGGTCAGTCACCAATCAGTCTATTAGCAGAAGTACATGAATTTGTCAGCATTTTCATCTGTTCGGGAAGTTTACTGATGTCCAAAATGAGATTTGTCATCAATCAAGATTTCACCTTTTTGAAACAAGAAAACCACTGGGACACTTGAGTCTTCCTCATAGTGCTGACCTTGTAAGCTGTGTTCAACATCACAGCAGTTTCTACGGTATTTTTCACAAGCAGGAAACAAAATTTCACAGCCAGACGCTGTTCTCTTCAATCAGTCATCACAAAAAACGAGGCTTGAGTGAAACTGCTTTCATGACCAGAGAGAACCTTCCCAGGCAACGCCACTGAGTGCATTAACTCAGAACAAAGTTGCTTGATGCTCACCTAGTGGGAAAAATGTATACTACGAAAACTCTGCCCAGTAGAACTTTTCCCCAGGTTTTTTTTTTTTTTTCTGGGGCGCGTGCCCCCTCTACCCCCCGCATGACTTAATTACTCAGAACATGTTTTAGTTAAGAGTTACACACAAAATACTCCTTTTTCTGTTTTAATTGGAGAAAGTAAAATGTACGCTTTGGATATTGTTGATAGAGTAAGATCGGTCATTGGTTTCTAGATATTGAATAGAGAACATAAGAATTGTGCTTAATGACTTTGATTCCAAAAGATATTTTTAATAGTTAGTGTGGAGGCCTCATGTTGAGCCATTTGATCTGATGTAAGAAATGAATTCAGTCTCTAAAATAGGTAGCATTCAAAAAAATTAAAAATACCTTTCTGAAAGGTGAATGTTCTAAATGTTAAGTATTCTTTGCTGAGTAATTTATTCTCGTTCCTCTGGTATTCTTATAATAACCAATTTATTGTTTCAGACAATTGAAAGTTTTGCTGCCCAAGAAAAACAAATGGAAGTTTGTGAAGTATGTGGAGCCTTTTTGATAGTTGGAGACGCACAGTCCCGGGTAGATGATCATTTGATGGGAAAACAACACATGGGCTATGCCAAAATTAAAGCTACTGTAGAAGAATTAAAGGTAAGTGCTTTTAAACCCAATAGCTAAAAATTGGTCATGTGTAATTATTTGAAGCAGTGATAATTCCTAGCAGAACTGCATTTTCTTCTGTCTTGTTCTTAAGTGCCAGAAATTTGAGATGAAAAATATTCCTAAGGGGGTTTAATCAAGTAATGGTGATCTTATGTTTAGATGCAGTATTGGAATTGTTTCAAAAGATTGTTTTGTTTTGTTTTTTCAATCATTTTATTAGGGGCTCATACAACGCATCACAATCCATAC